TATCAAATTTTAGACCAATTTCTAAACTTCCATTCCTGTCTAAGATAGTAGAGAAAGTTGTATATGATAAATTACAGCCTCACCTTGATGAAAATGGAATCACTGAATTATTCCAATCTGGATTTAAATCCCAGCACAGCACAGAAACAGCCCTTTTAAAAGTTTTAAATGATTTGTTTTTAGCTGCTGATGTAGGCAATCTACTGTTCTGGTGCTCTTAGACTTAACAGCCGCATTTGAACACTGTAGACCATGCCCACACCCTATCGCGCTTAGAGCATTGCGCGGCATCAAGGGTACTGCCCTGCAATGGTTTAAATCGTTTTTATCTAACAGAAGTTTCTCGGTTCAGCTTGGTGACCACTCTTCTTCAACATTGTCTACTAAATTACGGCCTGCCCCAGGGTGCAATTTTAAGCCCTGTTTTATTCTCACTCTATATGCTTCCGCTCGGGGCATTTTTAGGAAACACAATGTGGCCTTTCACTGCTTTGCAGACGACGTTCAAGTCTACCTCCCAATTGAACTTAAACACGACCTTACTGCGATTAAAACTTTACAGAACTGTCTTGAGGAGGTGGTATTATGGTTGGACTCAAATTTTTTAAGTCTTAATAAAAACAAAACCGAAAATTGTAGTCTTTGGGAACCAAACTGTCTGCAGGGCTGGGACAGTGCTATCGGCCCACTGGATACATTCTCTCGCTCAAGCACCAAAAATTTAGGAGTGATTCTTGATTGTAGTTTTAAATTTGACAAACAGGTCAGTGCAGTGGTAAAGAGTAGCTTTTATCATTTAAGACTTTTAAGTAAAATCAAGCCCTATCTCCCCAAGAAAGACCTAGAGAGAGCATTCCATGCCTTCGTGACATCGCGCGGCTGGACTACTGTAATTCCTTGTACTGCGGACTCGAACAGCGCTCTCTCCGCCGCCTCCAAGGGGTACAGAATGCGGCTGCTCGGTTTCTGACAGGGAAAAGAAAGAGGGACCAAATTACCCCTGTACTGGCCTCATTACACTGGCTCCCTGTATCTTTTAGAGTGCAGTTTAAAATTTTATTAATAGTTTTTAAATGTTTAACTAATACTGCACCACCTTATCTTTCCGATATACTGTACTCTTACACCCCGCCAGAGCATTAAGGTCAGCGGATCAGCTCCTTTTGACTGTCCCGAAAACTAGGCTCATCACCCGCGGGGACAGAGCGTTTTCAGTGGTAGGACCACGGCTCTGGAATAGCCTACCTATCTCCGTTAGATCCGCAGAATCTGTTGAGCAATTTAAAAGCAGCCTAAAAACACACCTTTTTTCCATAGCGTTCAACACTGTTTAAGCAGGTTACTTTGGCCGTTCTACTAGGCTACTGTATGTTTTATTTTCTATTACGTAATGATCCATTGTATTTTATTATTTTGTGATTGTTTTTGATTAACTGATTTTATATGTACAGCACTTTGGTCAGCGAAAGCTGTTTTTAAATGTGCTTTTATAAATAAACATGACATGACATGACATGACATGACAATTAATTAATACAGGAATCAAATATATTTAAATGCAATTTATTAGCTGAACCAAATGTATTCAACAGTATATAATATACAGTATAATTGCATTACTATAGGATAGAATACGGGGAAAGTAATAGCACAAATTGTTTTTGGCACAATGAACTCACAGCCTATCGTACCCTTTTGCACGCTCAAGTTCGTTATTTCCATGGTTATTTCAAATTTAGGCTACTAGGCGCGCCGCGCGCAGGGTGCAAGTTCAACGCTCGTTTTTTTCCAAGCGTGTCATCAAGATAAAGATAAATATGAATAAGATAAAAACATATTCATACCCTAATCATATAATAGTGTCACTAACGTTACATTAGCTCTGGCTAGCACTGTTACAGTAGGTCATCTAAAAACCATAACGGAACACTTACCTCAGCCGCAGGTGATCCACTTGTCCTGTCTGTGCCATAGATGGGATGGCCGTATCCTTCAGCACATTATGGTCCGTGTGGCAAATTCCATTTTTTCAAATTAGTCGTCCATTGAAATGTACCGAGCAAACATGTCCCTTGATAATCTATTTAGGTGTGTTTGGATAAATATCCAGAGTAAGTTAGCCATTTATTCATCCAGTCAGCGTTTTTAGTTGGAATTCTGTGAAACATGGTATTACCTCCCCTGTTTACTGTCGCAGCTATTTACAATAGAGCGAAAACCATGACTCTAAACTACGCTTTTACTATTTATAAATTGCTGACTCTGTTACCCAAACACTGAGCGAACTCTCCTCTCCTCACCACGGCGTGTCTCCGGTGATGCGGTTATTACTCCGTCAAAGTAGCAGTGCTTCGCCTTCAGAGAATAGTTCCCAGGTTTTATACGGTTAAAAGATGTCTGTGTCTCATTTGACTTTGTTATTTGTACATTCTGTGACTATACAAATCACAACATGTAAATAGGAAAACGTTTGCGTTATTTTGCCACTCATTTGGATTAGTATGAAAGCTGCAACCATTCACATCCAGTCTTTGTGCTAAGCTAGGCTAGCGGTGGGTGCGTCAAACAGACTTATAGCACGCACGGAGATGAAAAAGGTATGTATGGACTTATCTAACTCTGGGGGGTAAGGTGAATAGGCTAAAGTCCCAAAAAGTCGGAGTGTTCCTTTAAATTCAGATAAAACGGAGGTATTACTTATTGGTCCAAAAAAACTACTCACAAAACCTCTTACAATACAACTTTAATATAGACGGATGTCCTGTTACTTTATCCACTACAGTAAAAGACCTGGGTGTTATACTAGACCGCATCTTGTCTTTCGAAAATCATATTTCATATGTTACAAGAACAGCCTTTTCCACCTTAGAACATTGCTAAGCTACGTAACATGCTATCAATTTCTGAAGCAGAAAAATTAGTTCATGCATTCATGACCTCGGGACTAGATTACTGTAATGCTTTATTAGCTGGTTGTCCTGCATCCTCAATAAACAAGGTACAGTTAGTATCTCTACACTGGTTACCTATTAAGTTCCGTATCAACTACAAAATACCTATAAACCTGACCTATAAAGCCCTAAATGGTATAGCTCCTATGTACTTAACGGACCTTCTTTCTCACTACAATCCACCGCGTTCCTTAAGATCACTAAATTCGAAGTCCACTAAAGGAGAAACGGCATTCCCGCATTTAGCTCCAAAACTCTGGAATAGCATTCCCGATTTCGGTCCGAGGCTGTGACTCGCTGACACAGTTTAAAACTAGACTAAAGACGCATCTCTTTAGTCAAGCATTCACATAATGCTCACTTTTTAGTCCTCTGTTATGCCATACGGAACCATTTGCCACCGAAACTGCTTAACGCACCAGTGGGGCTCGACAGCCTTTTAGACAAACGGGTCGGCGCGTATGGTTGGGTTGCGGAGAGTTTGTGTGAGAGTGGTTTTCTAACACCGACTCCCGTATAATGGAAATCATTATGAACATCATAATTATTTCCCATCTGCCTTTCTGCTGTTATCTCGGGACGCTTGTCCTGAGAAAAATGGCGTCCGTCAGGTCCAGTTTTGTATCCAGCCTCTCACGGGGATTCGGATGCCCCAACGCCTGTGATGAGAAGACAATATTATCTGTGTTGTACTACTTTCATGTTATCACTGTGAAGCTGCTTTGATACAATCTGTATTGTGGAAAGCGCTATATAAATAAATGTGATTTGACTTGATTTGACTATTGTGAGACATATTGTAAATGAATAAAAGTAGACCTTTAACAGTTTTAAAAGATTACATCTTATCTTTATGACCAAAAATTACGAAGTAGGCTATAAGTTATTTTAGCTGTCATGAGAAAAAATAATTCCAACTGAATGCGCCGCCACGTTTGTCAAACTCTAATTCAATGCCAGAATAAAACACGATTTTAGAATACGCACTCGGCGTGGTGTGTCAGAATACTTAATTATAAACTTAATTATTTTGTTCAAAACCACCTCAAAACACTTAGTGACATTTTAAAAAGCCTTGAATCACTGGCCACTAGAACCAGGATCGTGAATGAAACGCACTGCATTATCTCTCAATACAGGAGCAGAAGCACTGGTTTAGATTTTATTGTTTGTTGTTTTAACATGCGTGTTGTATATTTAAATATATTTGATATGGTCTATTTAGACTATAGCATTGATTACTGTGGAGGCCCCACCGGCAAATCGCACCTTGGTTAGCTGTTACAACCATGTTTTTTTTTTAATTCTTTCTATGGAACCCCATTAAGTTTTTTTTCTTTTTTTTCTTTTTTTTTTTTTTTTTTTACAGAACTGCTTTTGAGAATGCAATCTGTTGGATGAGATTTGTTCCTTAGTGTAAAATGGAAATGCATAGTAATTTTATAAATACCATGTTTACTCAGGATTTGAAACAGTATCCTCGAAATGATTGAAACCTAAGTTCTATTCTATCACTGCTTCTCTCACTGAGAAATGCCCAGAAGTGTTGTTGTTCAGCTGTCACTGTGCACACACGCGAGAGAAGCGCTCTTCAATCTTCTCATTCCTCAATAGTTTAGCGTCATTGATTGCACCTAATTTATTTCCACTGACTGCGAGATAGGCCTATTTTAACTTTTGATTCATAAAATGTTCTGCTCTAGAAGTTTGCAATATTCTATTTAAAATGTAGGGCTACTTTTACATAATTACATTTTCCTTTCACTATAAATGTCCCACCTGGCAATCATTTCGCAAACGACTTTGAAATGCGACTAGTTTATTTTTTCTGTGGTGGATTTGCTGCGGCAGTTGTCGCAGTGGTAATAGGCATTCTGGTTGAGTACCTACTGTACTTTACATTGTATCAACATTTAATATAGAAACAACACAGAAACAAACTATCTGTGAAATGAGATAGTAACTCGTTTGCGGATATTCTCATAACAAGCAAAGCGTCTTAACTGAAAAAAAAAATCTGCACTGCCAAAACCTTCTCAAGCACTCGCAGCTAGTTTTCAGCAGAGCGCCCAGCATTTTCAGCTGGCTAAAAACGCTTTGGTGGACACACGGTTATGTTTGGTATCTTTGTGTTTTCATTCCTGTGTCTTTGTTATGCATTTCATTTCAGTTTAACCTTAATTATTAGTTTCCTTAGTTACCAATTAACCAAACATGTGTCTCATTTAGTTCATGAGACTCCTTGTTTGGTTCTATTGCTTGTTGTTGGTTCTTGTCTTCATTTAATGTGTATGAATTATGATTTCTCCTGGGTGATTCTCTGTGTTTATTTAAGACTTTATTTACTTTATCTTTCTCAAGAGTTTTGAATTGAACCATACACAGCATGACAATATTGTTGTCTTATTTACCATCAATCTGGGTGTCTAGTTTCCGAAATATTTGATTAATTTGGCGGAGATTAGCTACTGCTAATGTGAGCATGTGTTGTGTCCTGCAGGGGGAGCTACTGAGCCCGTGTCGCTGTAGTGGTTCTGTTCGTTGCACTCATGAGCCCTGTCTAATAAAGTGGATTAGTGAGAGAGGATCCTGGAGCTGCGAACTCTGCTACTACAAATACCAGGTCATCGCCATCAGCACCAAGAACCCGCTACAGGTATCTTTTTGACTAAACTTATTTATTTTTATTTTTTTTACATTATTATTACCATGTTTATATATATATATATATATATATATATATATATATATGTGTGTGTGTGTGTGTGTGTGTGTGTGTGTGTGTGTGTGTGTGGGTGTGTGTGTGTGTGTCTGTGTGTGTGTGTGTTCCTTTTTAATTCCATTATTCCTTTATTTTAACATGTTAAAATATAACATGTTATAAAATATAACATGTTTAACATGTATATATATATATATGTGTGTGTGTGTGTGTGTGTGTGTGTTCCTTTTTAATTCCATGTACACTGATGAAATATTGCATTAGTAAAAGTAATACATTTTGCTTTAAAAAGTAACAGTATATTTTTAAAAGTAAAAAAACTAATCTATATAGTTTTATTTATTTTATACACTCCATCCTCCTGCTCAAAATACTTGAGTCACACTGATAGGATAGAATTGAAATAGGTTAGTCTGACATCATTATGATTTTTTTTTAGAAGTCAGCAGAGTCGAGCTCTGAGGATCATATTACTCCTGCTTTTAGGAACATTTTAAATTCAGACAAGACCAAGTCAGTGATTTGTTAACTTGAGTTATTGAATCAGTAGTTGTGAACAGTTCATTGAAAAGAATTAGCTCTTTGAGATTTGTTGTTATGCTTTGAAATGTAGTGAAGAAAAAAATCTTAAAGGCACTATAACATTTTATGTAATTTATTATTTAAAATCAATATTTTTATTTATAAATATGTCCTCAATGGTGTACAAATATCTCTGCCAATTATCTGACTAATCTTCATAAATTAAGAATTTAGTATTTTTATATACAGTACATGGGACGGGTAAGTCCACAGAGGCTTCCATGTCATTCCGCCATCTTGAAAAACTATAATAGCAGAGAGGGACATAAAGTACAAGGCATTCAGAGCCAACGTGACGAGACAGAAAGCAGCAGAAACGAAGGAGCAGAGCAGTGAGAGATGCTTCACTGCCCCGGCAAGTTTAAAAGGCTGCATTGCAAATCCTCGTCACCAGCAAAGTAAAAAAAAAATAGTTTGTAAAAGGAAACGTTACCAGATATTACAAAAAACACGAGTTAATATCGGGATAGCTTTTCCAGGTGATAGAGCTAATGCAGGAGAAATAGTTCAAAAGAGACACTGAAGTCAATGTTACAGTCTTAATTACAAGCTTTTTTTTCATTGTTTGGTTGTGTTCTTTATTATATAGACAGATGAACATTTATAGTTAAGTTGATGATGATATCTAATGCACATAGGCGATTTCATAAAATATAACAAATAAAGAAGGCTTAACTACTTATTACAAGTTCATGTTTTTCACAGTCAGTAATTCATACTGTAATATTAGTTCATTCGTTGTGTCAGGTTGCTGTTTGTTTGAAATAACCAACCTGTTCACCTGAAGGAACACTCCATGAAGTGCTAATCCTGTCCTAGCTTTTTCAAGTGGGCTTTTTTTTGAAGGCCAACCAATTTCTTCCACATCACAGTCCGCAAATAATTTCTTTGTAGATCCCACTATGTGCAGAGAGCATTACTAAGTTGGAAAAGAAAACATTTTGTCTCATTGTTTGGACATTTACATGGCTGTAAAACGAATTCATTAGAAGGTGATGTTTACATACTCTGGCTTTATAGTGCACCTTGGCATACCATGTGTGATATATGAATATGGTAGTCATTCAGCACCAAAATATAGCCATCGGATACCATCACTGTGCCATTGTACCACCATACAACCTTTTTTGCTTTCTTTTGATCTGACTTTCAGATGATAAATAGGATATTTTCTTCTTTGTTTTGGTTATTTTAAAGGTGCACTTCAGAACTTTGGCCATACAATTACAGAAAATTATTATTATTATTATTATTATTTTATTTTATTTTTTTAACATCAGTTGTACTTTTGCTTGACTTGCCTATGATCGGATCTGTCATTCTACACCAGGATCTACAACCAGCAAGGAGAACGTCTACAGGGGACGTATTTAACCCTTTGATGTGTAAGCTATGGATACCCCTTCTAATGCAACATTAGGGTCTAAAAATACCTGTATTCATTTCCTATTTCATGCATGGCTTGGCATTTTATTTGAGCATTCAATATTTCATAATATATACATTTCTATAAATGATTTATGAATATTCAAAATATCTTGTTTTCAATTATCACAAATTCATATTTTAATATTTCCTAGGTTTTGTGTTAAAGGGATAGTTCACTTTGAAATTGATTTTTGGGATGTTTTATCCAAGTTGTAGGTGTTTTCGTTTCCGCTGTAGTTTCAATTTTGATATTTTTAGGTCAAACCGTTCCTGTCTATCAGTCATACAATGCAGGTCTATGGTCACCACCTCAAAGAGCATGCACAGAGAAGTCCAAATTAAACATGATTTAGTGACTTGTAAATGTAAGTACACATTGATGGCCATTGATGAACGAGCGTTTTTTGTGAGGAAACGAACAGTATTTATATCATTTTTACCTCTTGTAACCACAACCACGTACAATTGATCTGAGGGGGCGCAGTTCGCTTCAATCTGCGCAAGCGTCGGAAAGCGCCAGAAGTAAGCACCGGAAGTGATCACGGAAAGCGCACTTCTGGCGCTTTCCAGTGCTTGCACAGACCGAAGTGCCCGGGCCCTCAGATCACTTGGACGTGGCTGTGGTTACAAGAGGTAAAAACAATATAAATACTGGTCGTTTTCTCACACAAACTGCTCGTTTTCACTTTGTCACACATAACACACATATAACCGATAACACTGAAATTGAACTGTAGTGTTCTGCAACTGTAGGGGGATCTCCCCACCACCAATGTCCAGCATCCACCTGGATGATGCGACAGCAGCCATAGTGCACCAGAACACCACCACAGGACGGCTTATGTGACTGATAGCACTGATTTATAACCACAAAAAAAAAATGAATATGGAGGTACAAAGTTTCTGCCAAACATTGACAATAATTGTATATAATTGTCTATTGCAACTTTTATTTTGTTGAACTAGCTATTAGATAAAATAGAATATGTAGACCAGACCAGCGGCTAGCTAATAGCATTGGACATGTTTCTCTTTTGGACTCGTAATGGATTTCAATGTCTCAGCCCGTTCTCATCCTTTAACGTCATATAGAACGCTATATGCAACAACGGCGCTATACTACGCACATGGCACCCTTTATCGTTAATATAACACGCGAACCCAAGACGATATAACTCCTTTAGTGTGAATATGACACGCACACCCTACCCCACACCTAAACTTAGCCCTCACAGCACGTGTTATATTAACGATAACGGGTGCCATGTGCATAGTATAGCGCCGTTTTGTCATATAGCATTCTATATGACGTTAAAGGATGAGAATGCGTTGTAACCTTATAGCCTAAACGTTCAAATATTAGGATATATCTAGATGTCTTTCACAAAATATCAAATATTTTCTGTGACAAAAAAATTTATTAAATAAAACTTTTCATTTACACAGACATGGAATTATGAAATGTGTGGCAGGTTAATAGTTTTCTGCAGTAATTATATTTATACTATTTATTTATAAATATCAATGTTAAGTTGAATTTGAGAGAAAGAAAAAAAAAGAAAAGACATGGTTAAAAAGTATAAATTCATCATTGGTAAAGAAGATTTAAGATCAAAATGAGTGCAGCCTATTGATTGGGAGCACATGGTGGAACCTGGGAGAATCAAGGTTGCTGATTGGTCATTGAAACTCCACATCTTCAAACTCCACCAGGGACCTGTTTCAGAAAGGAGGTTAAGTGAAAACTCTGAGTATGTTAACCCTGAAATGAAGGAAACTCTGGGTTATATCAAACCCGAGAAAGCAGAGTAAGTCAAGCCCGTTTCTGAAAGAGAGGTAACTTACATAGTACAGAGTCAGCCTTATTGAGGGTTCATAATGACATTCTTAGAGCCATGGATAACAAAAACTCAGTGGTTATGGTGCTGCTTGACCTTACGGCTGCTTTTGACACCGTCGACCATGCAATACTCATCGACCGGCTCCAACATGTTGTGGGTCTACAGGGCACGGTGCTAAAATGGTTCTCGTCATATCTCACCAACAGAACTTTCTCAGTAATGATTGATGACTTCTCCTCTTCAGCTGCCCCTTTATCATCTGGTGTGCCCCAGGGCTCTATTCTTGGTCCTTTACTGTTCTCTCTTTATATGCTGCCACTAGGTCAACTCATTTCTAAACACAAAGTTCAGTTTCATTTCTATGCTGACGACCTACAAGTCTACCTTCCTGTAGTTTTGAATAATCATTCAGCATTAGATCCCATCCATAACTGCATCCAGGACATTAAACGGTGGCTCTCTCAAAACTTTCTTCATTTGAATGAAGGTAAGACTGAGTATATATTTTTCACCCCGGACTCACCTTGTAGCTCTCTTAATTTTGGCCCTCTCACGCCCCAATTTGCATCCACTGTACGTAACCTGGGTGTTGCTCTTGACAATAGATTGCATTTTGACAAACAGATTGGTGCAGTAGTTAAGATTAGCTTTTTCCAGCTGAGGCTCCTCAGTAAGGTGAAATCATTCCTGTCCCGTGCTGATCTAGAAAGAGCCATTCATGCATTTATCAGCTCAAGGCTAGATTACTGTAATGCCCTCTACACTGGGCTTAACCAATCTCTTCTCAACCGTCTTCAGATGGTTCAAAACGCAGCAGCCCGTCTCCTTACAAATGTCCATAAACATACTCATATCACCCCCGTCCTCTGTTCACTTCATTGGCTCCCGGTACGTTATAGGGTGGAGTATAAGGTCCTCATGTTTGTTTTTAAGGCCATTAATGGTCTGGCCCCGGCATACCTCTCTGAGCTGGGGCTCGTTCTTCGTACGTCGCTAACTCAGTTAGCTGGATTTGATTGTTGGCGATTTGGCATGATCTTGGATCGTTTGGTTCTTCGACGCTCATCCTGGACTTGCTGTCAT